GCCTCTCGATAGGCCGTTTTCACTTTGCCTAAAGTGCATTCAAATAAAGCTGAACACCTCGTAAAAGGAAATTTGTAATTCTTTTCAAAGTAGTTAGCGGGCCAAATCGTCCTCCCAGATGGTCCCACTCAGTGCGAAATCGGCTGGCAGATTGCGCCTGCATGTGCATACAAGGGTCAATACATTATTTATTACCGTTGTTCCATTATTTGTCATAGCTTAATGACAAATCGATGTCGATGCCCGAAGGACTGTAGCCGATTAATTTTCGACGTGGCGATTTCTGAAAATAGGTTTGGAGCATTTGCGCACGGTTTTTCGTCATGAGGTGTTATTAAAAAAACAAATAACGTTAGCATTTGGCTATAATTCTGACGTGTTGGTTTCATTTGCTGGTATTACGGAGTGTGTAATATTAATTTCTACCAATAAAGTTTTGTAAATTTTATGTTCAAGTTTATCTTTCTAGCAACGATTAGTACATGTCAGTTATGATTCAAACATACATCTCTAGCTTTATTAAATGTTGTAATCTATATTACATATATAATACACTCAATGACAAAACCGGAGACTCGTATATTGTTATATTTCAACTATATATATTTTTATCGTTTTATTTATTACAACATACTTCTTTTAATAAACAAGATTAAAAAAAAGGAATTTTAATACAAAATGTTTAATTATGATGGACACAGTTGGAGTTGAAAGAACTCACAAAACACAGAAAAATGATTTAGTGATAGAGTAATCTTTACCTAACAACTTCTAATTTAATTTTTGTAACAATTAATTAAGGTTTTTATTTTAGATAAAAAAGTCAATGGCACGAGTGGGATTCGAACCCATGATCTTCGGCTTTTTACGCCGTTGCTCTACCATTTGAGCTACCTCGATCCACTCGGACACCAACTTCCTATCTCAACCCCACCTTTTGAGATTTTTTATCTCAATTAAAAACCTTAATTAATTGTAATGTATTAATTGGTCAAGCGGACCACGAAATTAGTGAATTTAATGATTTAAAATGAAGTATACTTCACTAAAGCTCTCCGTGGCCATGTCATTTGTCACCGAGAATCCAATCCGATCACACGACATTTGAAAAATGGCAAAAAGGAGGGAAAATTCAAATGTGGTTGAGATGGAAAGTTGTCCGAGTGGATCGAGGTCACGATAGCTCAAGTGGTAGAGCAGCGACGTATCAAGCCGAAGATCGTGGGTTCGAATCCCGTTCATGCCATTGACTTTTTTATCTCAACTAAAAACCTTAATTAATTGTAATATATTAATTGGTCAAGCGGACCACGAAATTAGTGAATTTAATTTCTGTCTTAATCACTTGTATTACTTTCTGGCTTACATCTCCTAGGAATCGAATAAATAAGCGCGCGGATTTCTTCTTGTGAAAAAGGATCCAATTCTTCAAAAAGAGCGGTCTGTAGCTGTCTAATGCTTGCTGGTCGAAGATAACTATGTCTATCTCATATCTTATTCATGCCCCATAAGTGTTCTGTAGGATTCATTTCAGGAATTTCAGGAGAACGTGATGGCCAATTCATTGTGGAAAACACGACATCCTCTAAATCATGGGTGACATCTCGGGCTACATTACCACGCATTAATACAAAGTTTTCGCTAGTAAATGGAGCGACCACAGCTTTCAGAAGAACTTCCTCAATGTACCATGCAGTCAAAGATCGATTCTGTGTGATAATCGATTCTGGACGAGCATGGACGTTGATTCCACGCCATACCATAACTGGCTCCTGCATGATACATGAAGCAAACCTTTATCCACGTATTTTCCACACACGGTCCATTCATCTTATTGCATCAAACCAAACCGGCAGTCATTTGTGAAAAGAACAGCCGTCTGGTTTAAGTATCCAAGCGAGATGCTGATTTGAGAAGAGTCGCCTTTCTTCTCGATGCCTCTCTGGTAGTAACACATAGACGTCTAGAGTCTGGGCAAATCATCTGAAGCTTTCTGACGACAGTTTCAGAAATTTTGCATTACGGATCGTTTGGCGGTGACTACATATCAAGAATAAAAAAAGCCGTTATATGACGGTTCAGCAGTGCGGTAAGACCAATAAAACGATCGTCTCTAGCCGTCGTACATCGCTGTTGATCACTATCTTCTCTTCGACCGAGATTTACGGTCGCCCTAAACCGCTGTAGACCATCGAGCATGGTGGAGCACGGCACACCTAAGACTAGCGATGGACGTGCGTCCGTCGTTGCCCAAGCTTCTCCCCGGGCGAGAACTTCTCGACTTAACACTGTGCTTTTAAGAAGAAAAAAACAATTCAATAAAAGTTTTTTCTTTTCTTTAAAAATCTTTGAGGGTAAAACAAAACAAAATGGACAGAAGAATAAACAGAAAACAGAAAAAAAGACTACTTATTAGTATTCACGCCGATACACTAGCGTTATTCGCTTTCACTGTCATTCACTCTCACTTAGAAGGTCGCGAGACCAGTGACACTTCAGCTGTCGGGAAGGGTTATTCGGAAGGGCGCGGGATGAAAGGTTTCTAACATTAGGGTTTGTGTGACTGGTTAATTTTTTGTGAAACATCTTGTACCGGGTTTTCGCTACTTAAACGAAAAATTGAGTTTTTAGGTCATTGTGAATAGTAAGATTGGATACATAGAAAGGGACATTGATGATTGTTTAAGGATTTTTGATTGCAGATATTGAAAACATTTGAGGTTGAAACGGTTTGTTAAACGCCAAAGTTCGATGCCGTATGTCCAAGAAGACCTCAAAATAGTTATATAAATGTCAGTTTTGATCGTTTGTCAAGCAATCTTTAAAAAAAACTGAATCGTCTGTTTAGCTGTTGTCTTTTGAGTCGCGTTTGAGGGTTTCCTTGTAAGTCGTTAGTCAATACATAGCCCAAAGTAGCGGAATACATTACCTAGTGGGAAATGGATATTATTGTAGTAGATGGGGGCAATAGTTATTCTCCGAAGAGTGAACGTGACATGTTCGTATTTTTTAATGTTTATTCTCATCTTCCACTGCTTGAACGAGTGCTCAAGGAATGGGACATGGGTTTGTATGTTTATAGATGAGATGAAAGGATTTTTATGAGAGCAAAGAACGATGGTTTCATCCGAGAAGGTGGTAATGACCATTTCAGGAAGAGTAGGGATGTCTGCAGTATATACCGTGTAGATGATGTGTCGAGGAAGAGGTGAAGGAGCTGGTGGGGCGGTTTTATATGGTTGACTCGTCCTGGAAAGTGGGCAGACGTAGCGGGATGGATCTCTATCGGCAGATGGTTCTAGTGTTGGTTTTGCTGTGTTAGAACATGACGCAGACTGTGGCTGGGACTTTTTTCGTATCACCCAGCCGGTGGTGTGAAAGATCTGGCGGAAGCCGCTTCCCGTCATGGAGTAGGTGACCGGCCCGCACCGTTCGGGTGATCTAGAAGACTTTGCCTCGGTTCGTGGTTCTGGCGATGATACTTCCCTTTGGTACATCTGCATCTCTGCATTTGATAGATATTAACTTAAAAGTATCTGTCTGGTAGGTAGGATTTTAAGATCTGGAAGTACGTAAAAAGAAGGTCTCTTTTAAGAGGTGAACACACGCGACGCTACCTGATTCTACCCGACGCCTCCTCAAGTTTTGGTAGGGTGTGCACGTAGTTATACAGTCACACAGCGTGTATCACAAATCAGTATCGCAATCGCAACGCCTCTTTTGTTCTACATGCATTATTTTGATCAAAACCACATAATAAATTGTTAGTTAAATTTTATGAGCACAACCATAAAATAAATTGTTTGTTAAACTTAATTGTTTTAAATAAAGTTATTCCAGTATTTCCATAAATTTTCTTCCTAACCGTCATAGTTAAATAATTTTTATAAAAATGTATGAATTTTTGACCTCGTTTAATTTGGTTTACATTAAAATGGGAATGTTGTAAGTAATATAACGACAAAATTACATATACTTAGTTTGAAATAAAATACAAAAAATATGGGTGTCCTGTTCAGACACTACTCAACGAAAATAGTGTAATTTTTTTTTTTCGGGGCTTCCGACATCTAGGTCATTTCAGCCCCCACTAAGTCTATATTCTATACACGTTCATACAAATAAATACATTCATACACATAAATACATCCATACAGTACACTCATTCCGTTTGGTCGGTGGAGTACTTGATATTCCTCCACCGACCTACACTTAAACTAAACTAGATTGGGGTCGATGGGGTACTTTTATAAATATTCCGCCATCGACCCCGAACACACACTCACCCGCTTTCATCGTTCGAGGGGCGATGATGACGTTATATTCACCCTCACCCCTCGCCATTCACGCTAATAAATACATGCACACAGACAAAACATATAGACACATAACACATAAGACATACTATATACAATAAAAAACCCCAATTTCCCCTAAAAAGCGGAACAGGGGACTCTGAAACTCGCTACCATGCTCGAGGACTCTTCTTAAATCCGGCGGCATGCCTACACGCTCTCTGTATGGAGCCAAGGCATGACACGCCTCTATTATGTGGGACACATCGAGCAACCTTTCTCTGCATAAAGGGCACCTGCGCGGGCTTTGGCCCAAAAGCAGGTGCCCATGTGTCAACCGAGTATGGCCAATCCTCAGTCGGGTGAGGACGATCCCTCGTCTCCTGCTCAGATTCTCTGAGGGCCATCTACCGGTCGTGCTCTTGACTCGCAAGAGCCTCTCCGACGACCCCGCCCACTGACGCTGCCATCTTTCTTTTATCATATTTTTAACTGCGTGTTTAGCGTCAGGGGGCCTGATCGCGATGGTCCGATCTGGAGGGTGGGACGTACCGGCTTTCGCCGCCTCGTCCGCGCGTTCGTTACCCTCCAGGCCGACGTGTCCGGGAATCCAGACAACAACCACCGTTTTTCCGAGAGGCTCCAGCTCCGCGTATTTCTCTAACAAGAGCACGACGAGAGGGTCCACAGAGAACCTCTCGCGTATACCTTGCGCAGTGGCAATATCGTAATCAGTGAAGTTCTACTGAGATGCGATTATTGCTAGTTGAATAGTGTAATTGTATGAGCAAAACTGTGAAATAAATTGTTAGTTAAATTTTATGAGCAAAACCGTGTAATAAATTATTAGTTAAATTCATTATATGGTATTTCGGTGTTTTGATCAATTTTCTACAAAACCATTAAAATTATTTGTTTTTTAAAATAAAAACTAATGGATTTTCGATCTCAGTTAATTTGGTTTATATTAAAATAAGTATGTTGTAATTAATATAACGACATTAATACATGTAGGTTAAATAAAAATATGAGTGTCCAGTTCTTTTGTCTTCGACTGTACTCGATGCTACCCGTCGAAAATAACGGACAGTGGGGATTGCACAGCTAGAGTTGGGTAGCGTTGCATACCATCGGACAGATGTTCACTGGGGTAATACAATCTTACGGAAAATTGGACTTTGGATTGGCGTCAGGTAGCATCGGGTAAAGTATCATAGCGTTGCATCCGGTAAGTGTGTTCCCCGCTTAAAACTTCCAACGAAGCCCCGAAAAGCCATACCCAGTCGAAGGATTAATTAAAAAATTATTTTCTGTGACTGTATACGTTCAGTATATGTTGAAAAAATAAATGGTGGAGCGAGTGTGTTGTTCAACCTTTTTAAAAATGAATTAAAAATCTTTTAAAAAAAAAATGAATTAAAAATCTTTTTTTAAAAACTCAATATATGTTTCTAAATTAAAAGTTAATTAAAAAAATACAGCAAATTTGGATGTGTTTGATCATCATATTTCCCATTAATTAGTAGAAATGTTATTGATATATTATTTGAAGTTTTAAACAAAACTTGTGCTCCTAATCGTACGCTGTTATATGTTGTGTTTAGGGAGAATTTTATCGCCCCCTGTAGACTGTGCCGAGCGGTTATTCCGTAAACAACTGCAATGATCCGCGGTGGCTGACTGCCACTGTTGGAGCCGGTCCAGATTTTTCTATTTAAAATCCGTTTATTTATCTCGGAATTAGCGGTTCCCTTAAAACGTTTTGTTGCATTTCAGTCGGGGCCCTCGTTCGTTAAACCTGACCGGCCTCAAACCGAAAGCGATGAAAGCGTGAGCTTTCCAAGGTTCAACTGTCAAAAACAACGCCTGTCAATTTCTCGGCTCGACTAAAATTGTCTCCCTTCAGAAAATTTCACATCGGATTAGTTTACAGATGTTGTTTAATTGAAGCGATAATTTTTGGCAGGAAAGCCAAGGCTTTTTATACGGTAAGACCCAGATACGACACTAATCGCCATCATTAATAAAAATATTTTTTTTCAAGACAGGCGTAATTATAAACGAATTTTTTGTTTCGATGACAGAATTTTTTTTTTTTTTTTTTTTTTATAGGTTGATTTATTCTGTGTCTTACCTTCAGAAGGTTGCAGTGAAATGCTGAGTTCCAACTGTGACCATCCGCCCACGTTTTCCTGCCGTCCACAGTTTTAAAAATTTCATGGATCGTGCTGTTCTTAGTATTTGAAAAATTGTTATTTTGGAAAACAAATTTAAGCAAATATTTTGTAAGTACTGTTTTTGTACGAATACATGTTGCATATACGATTTAATTGAAAAATCGCTTACAATTCCGCCATGTAAATCGAGAAAAAAATATATACGTTTCAAATCCATTTATTTTGAAAATTTACTTAAAGAACGATAAACTAAAATCACTACCTGCTCTTTTTCGTTTTACTTATAGGAAAGTTTAATTTCTTGGATTTATTTGCTTTGCGTCATTTGCGCCCTTCATTAAATTTATAAAACTTAACAGATAAATTCCTTAAATATATGAGCATTATTTTTTAATGACTGATTTGTTTGGAATGATACAATTTCATTTTAAAAAATCAAATTCTTTCTCTATTTAGTCAGAACTCATTATCCAGTTGCATAAAAATGATTACCCTTATAGATTTTAATTTAATTGTACATAATAGAATATATTATTATCTCAAACTTTCCTGTTTTGCTGGAAGTTTGTCGAGAGGCAGTCTAATGATGAATAATTTCAACAATTCCAAAGGGAATATATTTTTCTTTACCTGTACTTTTTAAGTATTGAATTACGCATACCTTGCTGACAAAAAATAGTATTTATCCTTTATTCACACACAATTTGCAACTTACCGAAATGTTTCTTGAGGTACTTTTTTTTCTTCATAATAATGTAGATCGTTGGTATTTTTAGTTTTTTGATATAACCGCGTCTCATATTTTTGGCATCATCATATTTGTCTTACTAGTTGTTCTGGGCTCTCAGAAAACTCTTTGAAATTTTATTTCAATTTTTCGAATTTAATTCCTTTGGTTGGCCCTTCGACCTTCTTTCCCGTTCCTTCATCAAATTTATGTTACTTGGTCATGCTTTCTAATTAAGCTTTACATATAATAATGGCCATTATCTAGTGCTTCATGAAATTAAGTCATTAGTCGTGTATATTTATACACCCACTTATTATTGTCACGAAAGCTTTTGCGCGTCCTCTACTCTAAAAAGTTATCATTTTTTCCAAAACGAGAAAATGACTCGACGAATTTCATCTGGAAACGCGAGACACGAAGGATAAAATTGGATGCTTAGAAAAAGTTTAAACAATATAAGTGAGTAAGTGGGCATGAGAAGGGCGGATGGGGCCAATTTACATGACATTTAGGCACAATGCAGTTATCAGGGCAAGAAGGCGGCTGAATGCTAAGAAGGGGGGGTTACGAGAGTAGAGCAACATCAATTTGCCTCTTTCCGTCAATAGCGTTTTTTTTAATATAAACCTTATTTAAAGTTTCATTTTTATAATTTGCATAGCCGGCGGCTGGTGTTCATGTTAATTTTCTGGGAGGATGATTGAAGCTAAGGTTGAAAACAATGTCCACGTAATTGTCCCCAGCGCAAAATAATGAAAGCAATGTGGCGACTTCCAAACAGTACAACGAATTTCGAAATAAACATTTTTTTCCACAAATTCTGATGTGTATTGATTTTTCGGTGTTTTTGTTAAAGCAATATCTGTACGGGCCGTTTTGGTCGTAATGAACTTTTCGTATTTGTTCAACGGAAGATTTAGTTCCTGCAGAGAATAGTTCAATTTGGTGAGGAGAGAGTTATCAGACTTAAGCTTACAAGTCGTAATTTGGAAAAGGCCCGACAATTCATATCCCGGAAAGAGGTCACTAATTCATCTTCCTCCTTCTCAAGAAAACGTTAAACATCGTCTACGATAACAAGCCGTTATAAAACCCAGCATTGCCGTTTCAACATTTTGGTTAAATGACTTTGTCTCTGTGTTCATAATGAGACCGAATAATACCTTCTTCTCTTGAGAGGGCACAAGGAGAAAAAAATAGAAAATAAAATATTTTGAGGGGGCGCAATTATCGAAAAATTCACGTTAGACGATGATAAACAAAAATTCACCTCGCCTGCTCTATCAAGACATAGAGGTCAGACGGACGTGATCGAAGTGCAGATAAAACGGCAGAAGAAGATACTACGATGAACCGACGATCCAAGTTTGGCGAAGGCAGATGAAGAATTCCCGTGCAGACGACAAAGACACCGTGTATAGAGAAGTAGACTAATCAAGCCGAAAAAGGGTGAGTATGTGTAGACCAAGTCGAGCAAAAGAGTGCGAAATAAACTATCAATGCCAGTTATGAGATATACCGTTTTTTCTTAAAAACCCTCCGGCAAAAAGGGGCTTTCTTTGTCCTTTTTGACCTCCTTCCTTCTTTCTTTGATCCAGTGCTGCCTTGATCTATGCCAGCAAAAATGAATTTAAACAAATTGTCCTTTTGAGATTTCAACTTTACTTGGACTTTATGCTTGATGATGCTCAATGATATTTCCCAAGTTCTGTAACCTTCTGGCGTATTGTACTTTTCCTAATTCCTTAGTTTATGGTTCCTAATATCCTCTTCATATTGTCCCAAGATTATTGGATATCATTTTTTTACGATGTTAGGAAAGGCGCATATTTGGAGGTGACCGGTGCCTGCGACGTGACACATGTAGTGCCTCTTTTGTAACATAGAGGTATAATGAGGTTCCCAAATACTCGGTCGTCCTTAAAAGGATAATGAGGATCTTTAACGTCCACACCTGGCTCATGGCCTTATCGGACCTTTTGATTCTCAAGATGGGAGCTGACGCACCTCCGCATACGAGTGATGTGTGTTACAACCGCAGCGTTGGTGTAGAAGCTGTCCCAACCACGAGGGGCCAAGACGAACCTCGCTCCCCACTTGCCCATTCCGAGTGGTTAGGCCCGCATTGAGCATGCCGGGCGCAAAGGGCTACCTAGGCCGAAATATATCAGCCTGGTTTTCCTCGCACTTCCTTGATAGAAAAGGCTACTCTATCTCCGAGAGTATTGGGGGCTTCCCCAGCGTAGAAACTTCCGGATCCGCTCCGACAGTGGTGTTGTTTAAAGTGTAATTGCTAACCACCCCTTAGAGGAGACTGCCTTCGGTAAAGTTTGCCATTCGTGTACATTACATACTTCGAGTAGGAACAACCGACCACTATCCATTCCCATCCGCCACTTCTCACGTTTTCGAGGGACTCCATTAGCGTATTCTAAGTGTCCTCAAAGCAATAGGCTTCGATGGGGCGATCCTTCCAATCCCGTGTGGCCGGGTTTATAGCGGTGGTCATACGCAAGTATTCGGGTCGCAGATAGAAGGACAGCCTCTTCTCTAAATTCCCGCCTGGGGCGTCACTACGAACCACTACGAATCCATTCCCAATGTAGCAGGGGTTGGACTTTGAAAAAAAAAACCCGTAGTACAGATGGTTATGCAGCCTCCGCCGTCTATGCAGACAAGATCCTAGAGATGCATGGAGCCGTGGTAATGGCACAATGTTTGTGCCGCCTGATGAGGTCATTTTGACACTTCTTTTCCCCGATGGACATTAAAGGACAGTAACAAGATGTAGCTGAAAATGGAAGCAGAGGAAACCAATGTTGAACGTAAATCTATTATCATCAGTTTTATTATAGAATTATATTTATAAACGTATCTGACTTTACAATAAATACTTTACAGCATTGTAACGTCATGTCGCTCTTCCGCGTCGTGTCTAAGCGTCT